AACTTCTTTTAAGTAGTATAGATAACAGTTATTTTACATGCCTTGGATGGGGACAAATGTTTTTTTTCTTCAGGAAATAGGAGTAGCTAATCATTTCAAGGTTTCAAATCACAGTATCATCTTCTGTAGGCTGCTTCCATGCACATGGAATCGGAATATCTATCAGCTCTTCTTATTACTTTTAGCAACACACACTGAAACCAGGGGTCCGGAAATGGTCATATGCGCCGGACATGTCCGATTTGGAATTTCAAATATCCGGTTTAAAATATTGCTTACTGGACATTTAAATTTTTCTCTCCGGACCTTTTAAAAAACCAAACGGGGTCCAAATAATTGATGAGTGTTATCGTATCCCTTCAGCGAATTCAGGTGAATAAACAGGTAAAACAAACTTGGTCAATAAAAGTATGAAATTTGATATAAAACATCACTAGACATGATGATTTACCATTTAAAATGTATTTCCTGCTCTCCAAGGCATTGTTTTATATGCAGAGATTAAGATTGCCGTGTGTATTTTCTTGTAAACTAAGCCAGAAATAGCAATCAGCTGTGCACACGTTTCCTCCCAATCTACCGGTTATTCAGTTAAAACATACCCAATGATACAACTTCAAAAAAATTTGATGCAATGTTCGGAAGAAATTGTATCTGAAATTATTATTTTATCAGGAATAATATATTCCAATATCGTGTTATTTTAGTTGCAGCTTCACCATATATACTTAAAATTATAAGAACCATAAGCGTAGCACTTTGGTACAGATGATATGCAGGATATTTTTTGACGTATGGAACGATTTTGACCAGTCACCGTAGGGACTTCCCACGCTACATGTATTTCGATTGCGAAAACATTATGTTGACATTTTGACTGGTATTTCCGGTGTTACGTGATCGCAGTGATCAGCTGCTAATGTTTTCTGAGATGGGGGAAAACATCTTGTCATTGGAAAACTTGAGTTTATTAAAAATATTAGTAAATTTTCGTAGCCATGCATTACCGCGCTATAACCGAGTTAGCGCTATATTGAAGCGCGCAATAACGAGGGAACACTACAAAACAACTTGTAATGTGTGTGAAAAGTCGTACTAAAATACGTGTTTTGAAGGGGGCGTGGCCAAAATACAAATGTTCGACTGGGATTTTAAATTTTCCGGACCCCTGACTGAAACCATGGCAACACTTACGTCATTCTAATCAAATACGCAGCTGTTGCCTTTGTCCTGACTTGTACTACATATAGGACAATAACACATCATAATTTCACTTATTATTCAGTATTAAACTTGAAGCTGCACAAGCTGAGAGAAACATGTCACATGGACATCATGTGACTGCACACAATAGTACTATTTTAATCCTGTGATTTTGTGACAAACGTTGTCTCCCAGGGGCTCAACTTGAGTTAGGTTTGTGAAAATGTCAAAACAAATTTATGAAATAGTTTTTCAAATGTGTAAAGGCTTTAGATAGTCCTTTGTATAAAGTGTAGCTACCAGGTAACATTATTTTGTTTATTTTCCATGTACAGTATTCTGAGTACCCAAAGTACGAGTAAGTCGTTGTTCTCTCCACGAGGTTTATTTTCCATTAGGCAGGCCAGTAGACAATGGAGTTTGTGAACCCCACGAGATTACCCTGTCACGGATATCATCTGACGTATTAGTATTTGTTTGTGAATAATGCAGCAGTATGAATAATGGGCACTTTAGTATCAGGTCATATTGTATATATTGCTATTGCACTGATGTCGAAATGAGCGTGCAGCTGTCCAGTAGTTATACTAAGTGCAGGTCCAACGATCGAGATGTCAATCTGACGACGTGACTGAAAACAGTATTTAACATTTGTCCTTGAATGGATGGAAGCAGTGGTTAAGCAGGGCTCGATTTGATGACATAAAACATGCACCAGTGCAACCTATTTTTGAAAAATGCAACCTAATATTTAAGTCCACATGCACCATTTGCATGTAAAAAGTATTCACATGTTTGTCTGACTAACCCTTATTTGTCCAATCTTCGAACACAATCAATACCTCTATGCTATATTTACCATACTACATCAGCAATCCCTGTGTTAAGTGTAATTCATGACACTTGACAGTCATCAGAGATCCGATACTTGACCTATTTAGACCAGCTCATGCATCTATGTTTTAACTTTGATAAACTTATGGGACCGGGGTGCAACCTGGTTTTTGTCTGGTGCGACTTGGTTTTCATGTCAACATGCATCTGGTGCAAGTAAAATCAAGTCCCTTAAAATGAGCCTTTTCAGGTTCCTGTGAGAATATTTATCCTGGCCCATCCTACACACAATGTCTGAACTGGTATATTACGTGTTCTTGTCTTCTGATGGGTTGGTTTATGCTTATTCCACTAACCACTTGTTAGCTAATTTTACAGACATTTGTACAGACAAGTTTCACTCACTCTGCACACTCTGTGCACATGCATGAGTTCATCTCAGACGTCTCAATTATGCAAGCCAGTTGCTTTGCAGAGTTACGCCCCTTGGGCATGCCATGATCCTGTGATCATGGGTTCAAATCTCGCTTCCTCCTGATTATGGTATAGTTTTCTCAGCACCACACCCGTGTGGTCATGGTTTTCACCAAAGGAATAAACATCTGAGACCTGCATCACTTCAGGTTTCTTCCCACATTAAGCTAACATGATGTGGTATAGCTGGAATACTGTTCAAAGCGGCATTAAACCCAACTCACTCACTCACTCACTCACTCACTCAAGTATTCATGCTACTTCAGAGCTACCATCTATACTTAGGCTTCCATTGTTAAAGATGCATGAGCCTGTTTGATGATGGCAGAACATGCAGCTCTATCAGTAGGGCAGAGATGAAACGTTGTGTGCTGCATGCAAGAGCACTGTTACCTTACAGTGAGATATATAGAAGCAAGAGAGTGACTCCTTTCAAATGGAACACCCAGTTCAGGGGCTTCTAATGCAGGCTGACATGGATACCAAGACTAAGTGAAGTGAGCTTCCAATACAGACTGGGCAGATTCCACGGCAGAGCAGCTTCTGATGAGTTACCTGATATTGTAATAAGAAATAGTACACATAACAATGTTATGTTTGGGATTACACTTTCTTAGTAAAGTACAAATTCTTGAATTATTTTTGATTGAGTCCCGTCTGGGATTCGAACCCACACTCTCAGAATGAGGCACCTAATCGCCAGCACACAAAGTCAGCATTCTAACCCACTCAGTCACAAAGGCTTCCACAAAATGAAAGTATGACAGCTGGTAGTCTAGTTCATGTACTTTGTGTACCCCTCTGACAAGTGTAAATTGGCGAAATAAATACACAACACTTTATAGAAAGTGGTCAAATGTAACCACTGTTATATTTGGAATTGCAGGTTTCTAGTAAAAATTCTAGTACAAATTACAGTTAAGTAAGCTGTAATAAGGTGCTGTTGATAACTCTGTTCTGGTATTAGCATGATTTAGCTATTTCAAATACACATAACTTGAGCTGTTTTCTAATTTTTGGCTTTTTGTTTCATATTGATAAAATTCTTTACCTAGGCCAGAGGATAATCAGTCTTAATTATCCAACAAAACAGATTCCATTGGGTGTAAAATAGTGATGAAAACAATACGAATGGATCACTGAAAATCAGTGAAGACACATGTGTTCGTGAAAAGGGTCAATGTGTCCTGCCCCACTGGACTTTTCTCCTACATTAAGCTTACATGCGGATTGACTCAACTGGAATACTGTTTGAAGCGGCATTAAACCCAACTCACTCACTCACTCACTCACTCACTCACTCACTCACTCACTCACTCTCACTCACTCACTCACTCACTCACTCACTCACTCACTCACTCACTCACTCACTCACTCACTCACCCACCCACCCACCCACTCACTCACTCACTCACTCACCTTTAATGTCGAAAGTTTGTTCAATGCCTGTATAAGGAAACTCACCAACCGGAACCTGTTGAAAATTACGTTGTTTCTCACGACCACGCGCATTTTTAAATTTCCGTTTGTCTTAATTCAATCTTCTCACTATTTATAGGCAGTTTAAAAATTCATGGAATTTGCTTGTATGGCAGAATCCAATGATGATGATTAGAAAAATGTCTTGGAAAGAGAAGCCTGCAGCTAATGACTTTGAATGTTTTATCTAATTTAACCACATTATCAGTTTCGATCTTGATTAGGAAGACTTTCATAATAGGATGAACAGAGAAAAAACACAAGAATAGTTCCTTGCAATAAATCTTATTGCCATAGAAACAGGTTATCCAGTGGTTAAGTGACCTCGAGTATAGAATTAATTAAATATTGGATTAGATATCTCTTCAAAAGTTAAATTCAGGACAGAAGACGTTAGCCTATGATAGTTATGTATTCCCATGCCTGGCATTTAGTGGTTATTAATACCAAGAAGTAGAAAACTACTTTAAGCTTCTAGTGGAAAATCATTTTTGTTCACTTGAAGCTCTTGAATTATGCTACTGAATATCATACACATTAGAAAGAATGTTATCGCAGAAGATGACAATGTGTTGTCCTTGATTGAATCCCTCTGAAGTAACCCACGTTTATTCATGTGAGCCTTTCTGAACATAATTGATAAACATGAAATTTTAGAGCCCTAAACAGGAAAGATTCTGAATTGTTTGAAGTGTAATGTTCACTAAACTGACATGTATTCTTTCAAATTACAAAAGATTATCTCAAAATCAGTGAGAGATTGAATATTGCTTACCTCCACATCAACAATTTTACAACCTTTCAAGGCCATGTCTTGAAGTGGTGTTTCAAGTATGATACACAGAGACGGGAATTATTCAGAATGTTATGTTGAAATTTCATGAGATGAAGTTTTAAAAGGGAATTACGCTTTTGAATGACATGATTTGACCTCTTCCTTTTCAGTTTAGTTTATGAATAATACAAAAATGATTGGGAGCTAATTTCATGTATCTATTTATTTTTGACAGAAAAAGGCTGTGAAGAATTGGTGGGACGAGGACTGGAGTCAGTGGTTTGGAGGAGACAACCAGGATTCCAAACTGTCGGAGAACCATGTGGCAGATAGCCAGCACAACAAGGACACTGAGGCTGCAGCTCAGGCTGTCAAACCTAAAGACATTGTAGCACCACCTGCCCCCCTCAAGTCAAAGGGCGACAGTGTTAAACCACTAGCAAAACACCAGCAGCCCCAGCAGCATCTATACAATCCCACAGAGGAGAAAGGCTGGGATGACAAGTATGATGTAGACTACAACAAGTTTGTGGATGATGATGATGATGTGGATTATGGTAAGGATTATGATGATATTGAAGATGAAGAGGAGGAAGATCTGGACTCCAGTGAGGAGGACTACACAGACTCCTCTGAAGAGGCCAGTGAAGAAGCTGTGGAAGAAAAGGATTACAAGGAAATTGATGAGATGAAAGCCAAGACTGAAGCTCCCAAGGTTCAGGTCAACATGGTGAATAAGGAACCCGATCATGTCCAGAAGGAAACGACTTTCCGCAGCTACGGCAACGACATGGCCATTGTACCCGTCGAGAAGCATGCTGATGAGAAGCAGCAACTGGCTGAGCAGAAGGAAGTCTCCAAGGAGATGATGTTGGACACATTCCCGGATGTCAATACACATTCTGTAAAGAAGGACCTGATGAATCCTGCTTATCTGAAGGAGTATGCTAAGACCAAGCCAGACCTCAAAACCAGTCCCAACCCACCTCCACCTGGTCTGGTTGACGGCAAGATGACCATGGTGACACCTTCTGGGAAGAAGCCAGTCAAGGAAGAGAAGACGTACATCCAGTCCAAGCCTCTAGGTATGTGTATAAACTGCCCTTGTGATTTCACCAAAGTGGTAAATGTCTTAATATGCTTCACCTAGTTGTAACTGTAGTGATTATCTTGATTCTGTGGGGGCGGTCGGTTAGCCTAGTGGTTAAAGCGTTCGCTCGTCACGCTGAAGAGCTGGGTATGAATCCTGACATGGGTACAATGTGTGAAGCCCATTTCTGGTGTCCCCTGCCGTGATATTGCTGGAATATTGCTAAAAGTGGCGTAAAACCAAACTCACTCACTCACTTGATTCTGTGTTAAACCAAATGTCTAAATTACCTGTTTATTCTTTCCTCATGACATGACACATGTTTTGTTATTTCTTTCAGCTCTCTGTCAGTCAAATTCAGATTGCCGAGTTGGTCGCATGTGTCATGACAAGGTCTGTGTCTGTCTCAGTATTGAAGGCTGTCAGGGTCATTACAAGCCAGTGTGTGGGTCGGACAACAACTGGTACCCAAGCCACTGTGAGCTCCACCGCAGTGCATGTGTGAGTGGAGAACACATCAAGATCGACCACACGGGAATCTGCTTCAAGATCAAGGGTAAGTTGCAGTTTAAACGTTGAAAGTACAACTTACAAAGATGTAATATATGTGAACACTTTTGAGTAAAAGTAAAAGTAAAAGATGGTACTTGTTGTTACCCTGTCTGGCGCTCGGCATAATGCAGGGACTTAAACAAGGACTGGTCGGCCCGGAGTCAGTATACTGTGCCTGAGTTGGCTATTCATGTTAAACTACGGCTTGGTATCTCAGTGGGCTAGCACAATAAAATCGGCTTTAGTCCGGACTAGTACAAGCAGCCACACACACACATGAATGCACGTCGCTATATATGTGCATTAATCTTGGACGTGATGTTAAACCCCATTTCACTTCACAATATCACCTTTTAAATGGTTTGATAGGCATTACAAAGAAGTTGACAGATGACAAAGTAGACACAATTTATGGATAACAACTTCTTTAATACTGTAAAGGCGATGTTTCGGTAAAGATCCTCATACAGTTGATGAGCAAGGATATGTACCAAAACGTCGCCTTTACAGTATTAAAGAAGTTGTTATCCATAAATTGTGTCTACTTTTTAAAGCATGTGTTTCTTTGGTGTTGTCCAATATAGAATAACATGATATTTGTTGAACCGTAGGACACTTTTGCCTTGCTGTATGTACTGTTCAACCATAATGACTCATGGCTGTTTGAGATGTGCATACTTTATTCACTGTGGCAAAATCTGCATCCAGAACAAGTTTATACTATTCATGTTCAGTGTTAAATATCTGCAAGACAACTAAGGTTCAACAATTAATTGTCCTGTAAGTGGTTTTGCATTGTTTGAACTGCATCAAAGCTTACGAACAATAACAATTGTCATGTACTGCTTGAGGCATGCACATATTTCACTCAGACATTTTCAAAGAATGTTTTATTACAATAATGGTGATGCATATTTCATTCTAAAATGTTTTGTACTAAGTTGCCTGAAGGTCAAGGAAAGCGTCACAGCATTGATGCTGGAAACTTCAACAATACTTCCCTTCGTTGTTTGGGCTTTGAAGCATTACACATCATCATTATCCCCTGAGTCATGAAAGATTAAAGCACTTTGCTTTAGTGCCTTGGTTACAAGGGAATGTACTTATCAGTCAGCGAGGTGACAATGCTAGTAGATGGTACTAAATCATTCACAGTGTCTTGTAGTCATTTGGACTGAACTTGAATGGTTATGTTAAAAAATTAACTTGAAGTGTGAATGTGACTGAACATTGTTTTGGGGTAACAATTGTCTCTACTCTCTATGCTGTAGGCTACAGGGGGTATTCATAATTTGATTTAAAAAATTGTTGAAAAAGGAATAATGAAAGTGGTTGAACTCGGTCCAGTTTATAACAGAATGCAGCAGTTTATCCCAAACCAGGCTGAAGATTTCTGTGTCATATTGACAAATGATTGAGGGGCAGTTGGGTAGCCAAGAGGTTAATGCACCGTGTCATCATGCCAAAGACCTGAGTTCAGTCCCCAGATAGGTATAATGGCTGCAGGTTATTCTCACGTAATAGGACTGACTGACTGACTGACTGACTGACTGACTCTACTGACTGACTGACTGACTGACTGACTGACTGACGATGATAACATGATATGACACATCCAGTGGGCCTGAAAGTTTGGGTCTGAGGGCGGGCAAGTGGGTATGTGAATTCTATCTCTGTAAGTGCCAAGACGTTTCAAAGTCTTTGCTAATGTATGGGAATTAAGACAGCTGTAGCCTTAAGATTGGTCTGTGGACTGTGACTCGGGACACATTGATTACCTTTGCGTAGGCTTTTCATGAGTGGGAGTTAACAAGGTACTGACACCACATGGAAGGAGATGACTGTACGTGACCGGCGCCGACGGACATCAGGAATTGCCCCTCTTACAATGCCTACATTAGAAAACATGGCCCGCTACATTTCACTAATGCATCTATTTGGAGTGATTATTTATAACAATGTATAAACACAGTAAACCTAACTGGGTGTGATATGATGGTTATCTCACACAATATACCAATATGACTTTTGGGAACTCAACATTCTTACTGTGCAGATATTTTGAAACGACAAGTATTGACCTGCCATTGTAAGCCTAAGCACCTATTTTATGGCATCAGTAATGATGGCAATCTACAAGCTATTCATGTTGGCCTTGCAGGACTTGTCTATTTAGGAAGGAACATATGTAGATTCTAATGGCAGAAAAAGTTTGGAAATATTTGTGAAAATAGGATATGTGTTTCTTGTTGGACATCTTGAAGGGTCAAGATGCTGCAGTTATATTCTACAAATCCACATAAGTATGTGATACGAGTGTTATATATCTGGTCAAGACACTGCAGTTTTATTCTACAAATCCACATAAGTATGTGATACGAGTGTTATATATCTGGTCAAGACGCTGCAGTTATATTCTACAAATCTCCAAGTTGAGGTGACCTTCTGAATGTTTGATTGAGAGACATAACTGGAACAAAACTCATCATAGATATAGTTTATTGTTATTGATGTGGCTGATGCAAATGCATATGAGGTGCAAGGGGGAATAAATTGTAGTCTTCTGGGCTGATTGCTATATAAAATCCTGAGTCCAGGACAATTTAAGGTGATACACGGAACAGTCCCTACATTGTCATGCCTGCATGCCAATCACTTTTCATTATGCTACAGTAAGCTGCACATTAATGGCAGGGTTATTAGAGTTTCGATTGTCTGTGTTTATCAGGTACCATGAATTATTCATGAAGATCATCTGTGGTAGGAATTCATCTCAGTGGCTGGTATTGGTGAGGAATAGTTAACACAAGTTATTGATTATCGTTGCTGTCATGTGTTTTTTAGTCATCAGCTAAATATGTACATAATTCATATTTGCTAGTGTTGGCTCCATGACAAGGGTATAAATTACAGTCCTAGACACTGCATGGCTGTGTTCGCCAAGCCCAGCCAAATTGTCAGTGGCTAACTTATCCTTTCGCCCAGGTGAAATTACTGTTATTTTTATGCATCGTAATCAGAAAAAGTGACTTACACCGCTTTCATATGGCAGGAGTACTGCGTGCAGCATCAAGCAGCAAACAAACACTTAGCTTTTTATGTAAATTGTGTGAGTGGCAGGTGCTATTGGTAGGCCAGGATGGGATGTTATCACAGATTTTCAGTGATCCATTCACATTATTTTCACTTTCACCAATATTTTGCCTTTTATGTCTATTGGAATCTGTTTTGGTAGATAATCAAGACTGGTTTTTCTGGCGTTGACGTTATATGTTTACTTAAAAGGAGACTTCTGTCACTGAATGTGGCTTACTGACTTGAAAGAATGGGACAATGTTAACTTTCAATAGTCTCTGTCACTGGTACCTTGATGAGTTGGAGGATTCATCACATTAACAAAGATGTGAGGATTGGAGGCTCTTTAAATTCATGAATTGGGTTTTCAGTCAGGTGGAAGGAGATAGTAATGGTTATTCCTGTCTTGTTGGGGTTACGACATTTTGGTTAATATTTAGGTAATATTTGGATTCGTTTGGCTGAATATGTAAAAATGTAAACTATGTAATTGTTTATTTTATTCTTAACAGTGGAATAATGTATTTGAGTAAGACATTAGTGGGCCATTGTTAGTTTCATTTGAATATCTTGTCAGTTAGATGTGAATAAAGAATTTCAGATTTAGAAATGGTGATGAGGACACATAAACTCTTTGTATACCCTGAGTGGACTAATGTGCTCACGTCCTGAGTGATGTTTTGTCTTGGGGATGAGAGAGGAATATTTATAAATCTTTGATGTGTAAGTATTGAAAGTAGAGTTGTCACAGGGAAGGTATATTTAGAGCATGCGGGACAGACATGATTCAGGTGATTGTGTAGAGAAATGATTGAGTATGTTATTCCATTGGCACTGATTTGTCAATTATCTTCACTTGTGTATAGAGACATGTCATCTGGGTCATAAAATATGACATTCTGGATCTGGAAAAAGAATTTGGAGAAATGAGCAATTCTATAGTGTGGAAATGTCATGAATATCAACCACAAAGCTGTTTCCGAGATAAAAAGATGAGCAGGGCATGATGTTTGCACAGGGAAGGATGTGATGTGTGTGTGAGAGGATGGATGGGTGGGTATCCAACAAAGCCCTGGGTTGTGATGAGGCAGAGGATGGTCAGTGGGTGGCAGATATTCCTGTGAGATGAAGGGGACAGGGCCCAGATAACCCCCATTTAGAGCTGAGATGGAGGAGACGGATATCATGATGGAACAGAGATTACTGTACAAGTGACAAGAGAGTTCACATTGTAATGTACAGCTGAATTCAGGACTGTGAGTCATGTCTGAAAATTTGATTTAAGTTGACCTTAACTGGAAGTGGGTTTCGATAATACAGCCATAATTTCTTCTAGGCATACTCAGTGTGTCTTGAAAGCAGTATGCTTGCCGTAAAAGACAACTGTGCTTGTTGTAAGAGGTGACAAATGGGATTGGGTGGTCAGGCTCGCTGACTTGGTTGATGCATGTCATCGTATCCCCGTTGTGTAGATCGATGCTCTTGATGTCAATCACTGGATTGTCTGGTCCAGACTCGGTTACTTACAGACTACTATCAAATAGCTGGAATATTGCTGAGTGTGGTGTTAAACAACAAACATACAAAAAAAACCAACATCTTGTTCATACTAACTGCTATATCATATTCAACTGCAGCAGTATGGCTTGCGGCAATATCTATAAGTACTCTCTGACAAAATCCAGAAGTATCTAGAACCAACTGGAGTAGTACTGCCCCCTCACAGCAGCTTTAATTAAATGCTTTTGTAAGTGATTTATAACCTGTAATTACCAAAGTTACCAAAGTTATTCAAAATACGTGTCTGTTTGAAATGAGGTCCCAATGTATGTCGCTGATGAGGTTAGCATGCCATTATGGAACTTCTATTTTCCAGTACATTTGTCGATGTTGATGTCCATTTTTTTCAATGTTTGGATTGTTAAGGTT